CTACATATATGTACCTCGGGTACATATATGTAGTACCTGATACGACAACGACCCCTTCAGCGCTACTGGCTATGCGCACGTGCTTCTAACAATAACAAGCTAGTAACAATAGTATGCAGCTCGATAGAATTACAAACGACCGCGTCTGTCTATATATAGCCTTGACACTCATGTCTGAATATATATCATACTTTGGATCCCGGTATCGATTGAGGAGTGAATATATATATATATATATATATATATATATGTTTGGATTTCTGTATCCGTAGATTGTTTATTCACATTTCATCTCGTACGTCATGTGAGTACATCTTTTTTCTGTTCGTCGGCGTCGTTGTCTTCTGCTCTTTATTCCTCTCCTTTTTCCTGTTCTGCTGTCGTATTCTTCTTGTTCGTCTTCTAACTCTACGTCCTACATCGCATCCTCTTCGTCTTTCCAGTGACGTAGCCAGGATTTTTTAACGGGGGGGGGGCAAAAACAGCGAACTGCGCAAAATAGTGGATATACTTAATATTTTAATATTTCCACACCCTATGCTCCCCCGCCTCTCAGCTCTGCAATCTTTGTTTTAGGCGCCATGCAAAAGGCGACATTTTTGTTCGTTGTTCTCTGCTCTCAAGATATGTAACTGTTCAGTGGCGGATGCAGGATTCCAAAGAGGGGGTGAACACACAGGCGGGGGGGGGGGGGTCCTCCCCCAGAAAAAATGTGAAAATGTAGATCACAGGGGATGGTATTTGAGGCACCTTTGAGTACATGTACAGCCTTCATTCCGACAACGGCAATTGTCATTTTAGTAGAAAAACAAAATTAATCTTTTTTTTTTACTTTCATGGCCCCCTTTGGCCCCCCTAACTACGCCACTGCTCGTCCCCTTCCTCTTCCCCTTCCTCTTCACCTTTCTCTTCCCCTTCTCGCCGTCATCTTCCTCTACATCCCCCTCTTCCTCTACTCGCTTCCGCTATCTCGCATTCCACTTCTCCGTCCTCCACATTCTCTTTCTCTTTCTCTATTTCTATTTTTCTTTAGATTCCTCTTTCTCCGTCAAACTGACTTCTGTCGTATCAACGTAGGTACTGGCACTTATGTACGTATCGGGCAATGAACCTGTAACTATATATAAATGTAATGAGGAGTGAATAGTAATAGATCTATTATTATCTACTATTAGTCTGTAATGTATCCATGGCACTCGCCGACGAAGAGAGTCACATACACATAATTCTATAGCTGCGACAGGGCCGTAGGCTGAGAAAAATTCCTTGGGGGTGGGGGCAAAATTTTATGATCAACTGTGTAAAAATGAGCGACGGGCGCAGCTCTTGATCGACGCCCATAGTATGGTATATAGGGGTGGGTCTGAGACAAGGCTTTCACGGATAAGTGACCAAAAAAAGTCACGTTAGGATTATATACGATTATCAGCTAAGCTTATTTTTTAATTTTGCTCCAAAATCTAGGGGGGGGGACAACTGCCTCCCTTGCCCTCCGACCCCCCCTCCATCCCACAGGCTACAGCCATGAGCTGTGTTGCCATGTGCCATAACCTTCGTTAAGTAATTATTATAGACACCATCAAGCGCTCGCCGTCTATCGTGCGTTATATGACCACCGCCGACACAGGCCCCCTAAATTCTATTATATAGGGTAAAATCAATCGTAATGGGCTGAGTAATTGACACTGCTGAATGCGTGCACTCTATTAGGTCTCCCAGGCCCTGCATTCGCTATTACTCTCTTTCCCATCATCTGCCCGTTTCTGATATGATGAGTGCACACGCGAACGGTCACATCTGCGCTTGAGTGGCTCGATATAGGGGTCAGGTGCGTAATATAGGTATGAACAGGCTGCAGGTGTATATATGAACACGTAGCGCGGCGCGCCCCTGTAAAGTAGACGTCCATCTATGCAATCGGTTGGGCACTGAGTAGAGTGCGGTGCTACCGCCACAGAAATATTATATGATTTCAGCGTGTCTGTGCAGCTCATAGGGTCTATGTCCCCCAGGGTACTGCCGGAACGTTCCTTGGGTAGGGTCCGGTATACCCTGGGGGACATAGACCCTCTCAGCGTCCGTGCATCTCCATGTGAAACTATCGTAGGGTTATATATCATGAACCCCTGGGGGGGATTATCCTAGCTGAGCCGTGACGAGAGCGATTCCGTGCCATTAGACGACGTTTAGTATGCTTTGCCGTCGTCGGCGATTAATTGCTGTAAGAGGAGCATATCTTCGTTGTGCATAGGGGTCTACCTCTACATGAGCGGGTAGCGAGTTTTTAAATCGTAGGATGGCGACTGAAGATTGATAAATTATTCGTGCTTTAATACCCTGCTCCTAACCCTAACCCAAACCCTAACCCAAACCCTAGCCCTAACCCTAACCCTAATCAGTCACCATCCTACGTCACCATCAGTTACCGTCCTATCCTTCAGTTGCCATCCTACGATTTAAAAACTTGCGAGCGGGTATGGATGGGAGGTAGTGGAGGGGGGGGGGTCCGGAAAAGTAAGCTCGATTCGCCTTTGTGACTATATGCGCTATGTGACAATGTATTATATATGTGACAAAGATCAGTCTCCGCTGATATTGAATTAGAAACTTTAGAATAGCTCAATTATTTCAAATAGAATTCTATCATTCAGAATTAATCCGTCAGATTGCAACCGCCTATCTCTCTAAGAGTGGAAGAGATATATTCGAGCACCTCCTCTTGTCTCACATGCACCGGAGTCTTTCCCTCTCTTCCCTTCACACGTGACAGCTATGCCCTGAGAAGCCATACACATGTGGAGAGAGGCCTGGAGGCCTCACACATGTACTTTTTTCATATACATATATAAAGCGGGCAGCACACTTCACCATTTTCGTTGCTCGTACAGGCAATTTTCGTGGTCGCCACAAAAATGGCCAAGTGTGCGGGGGCCGGCAACGACCACTCACCACGGAAATTTTGTGGTGACCACGAGTTGCCGAGAATCAAAAATAATAATAATTAGCTGGATGAAGACGCTACCAGCACCGGAATATACGGACAGTTTGCCTGAGACGAGATCGTGCAGGAGAAGGAAACGCCAAACAAATGGAAGTAACTTGCTGCTGCACGGGGACATTGGGCAGCGTTTGTTGCTGCCCCTGTTGATAGACATGAACGCGGAGCGAGGTGTTGTGTGTGGTCATCACGATGCAATGAAATAAACACGCACACGCTCACGCGCGTCTATTCCGCATGTGCACAATCCGCGTACGAAAAATAGACCCGTGCCACGTGTATCTCTCTCTATTCGATGCATGCTGGAACTCTTGTATCATGCCAGGGGTATCAGAACAGAAAAACGCTTACATATACACCAGGTATATGCACACCAGAGTAATAGCTAAAACAGGAATGCGCTGTACTGTAGTGCCCCTACCCTGTACTGTAACACCACTACTTTATAATGTAGAGTGGCCCTATACATATTACGTGCTGATTGCTTTTGCGTCACTTAGTGCAACTAGTTTATGTCGCGAGCTTTGTCTGCGCCATTCATGCTTGTGTGTCCGCTCTGGTCCCCGCGAGCATCGATTTAT